GTCATGATCCTGGAGTCCCTGGATCGAGTCCCGCATCGGGCTCCCTGCTCAGCAGGGAGTCTGCTTCTCCCTCTGACCCTCCCCCCTCTCATGTGCTCTATCTCTCTCATTCTCTCTGTCTCAAATAAATAAATAAAATCTTTAAAAAAAAAAAAATTCCACATGAGTGAAATCATACGATATTTGTCTTTCTCTGACTGACTTATTTCACTTAGCATAATACCCTCTAGTTCCATCCACACCATTGCAAATGGCAAGAATCCATCCTTTTTGATGGCTGAGTAATATTCCATTGTGTGTGTGGGTGTGCGGGTGGGTGTGTGTGTGTATGTGTGTGTGTGTGTGTGTGTACACACCATCTCTTCTTTATCCATTCATCTGTTGATGGACATCTTGGTTCTTTCCACACTTTGGCTATTGTGGACATTGCTGCTATGAACACTGGGGTGCAGGTGCCCCTTCAGATCACTATTTTTGTACTCTTAGGAGTCACAGACTTGGTCACTCTGAGACAAAGGTGCTCCTGACACTGCTGGGACTCACAAATCCAGGGCCCAAAGGGCCAGCTGGGAGGTTGGACATTTGCCCCATCTTGTCTCTAACTAGGAGATTGGGGATTAGGTCCCAGGAGATACTCCATGTGAAAATAGGAGCCAGGAGATACTCTTCCTGGCTCCTATTCCTGAGGATGGGTTGCTCCAGCTCCAACTCTTCAGTCCATGCTGCTGCTACAGGGGAGGAAGAACACTGAGGTTGTAGCAAGACCTCTTTTTATTTTTAAGATTTATTTATTTGTTTTAGAGGTTGGGGGAGGGGCAGGGAGAGAGAGAGAGAGTCCCAGGCAGACTCCACCTTGAGCACAGAGCCCAATGTGGGGCTCAATCCCACGACCCTGAGATCCCGACCTGAGCCGAGTCAGATACTTAACCAACTGCATCACCCAGGTGCCCTATAGCAAGTCCTCTTGAGGAGAAGAAGGGAAAGCAAACCAAATAGGCAAGACAGACCCAACACCTAGTGATGGTGACAAAATCTGAGGATGGTCAGAATTTCCAGGTAAGATCTGAGGTGGGTAGAGATGGGAGGCACTGGTCACACACACACACACACACACACACACACACACCCTTCCTTCTCCTCCTCCCCTATTCCTCCTTTCCCGTCCCTTCCTTGGTCTCAGGCAAATACAACTCGGCTCGCTTAACCACCACAAGGAGAGTCTTGACTTGATATCCATGAATTCCCTGAGAGTCCAGCCTGGTCAGTCCAGATCAGGGGTCCCCAAGTCCCTGTCAGTGGCCAAGACATTGGAGCTGTGCAATAACAGTGCTCAAGACCCCTGGACTATGCATGGACCACTCCCTCTCAGCCCACTGGATGATGGGAGTGGCTTGCAGAATCAGTCTATACCACCACCCGAGGAGTGAAACAGTCTCCACAACAATGAATAGGTCAGCACGCCCTAGCTCATTTTTTTTTTTAAGTATCAGAAGTATTTGCAATAGATTTATTTAGGCTCATTTTCCAATCAAGGTTCTGAGAAGGCAAATGATGTGGCCATGATGGTACACCTGGGACTCACCCTGGGCCTGCACATGTCACATGTCTGAGTGCAAGCTTTGTCATGGTACTACTAGGTCAGAGCCATTGCCACCCAAGAGCATGATGATGAAATTGGTGGCAATGGCCCTTACAACTCTATATATGAAACTTTACAGTTTTCAAAACTCAGCTTCCCACAGACAGGGACCAAGAAAAAGTCCAATTTGCTCAGGGCTGAGGGTGCTTCCCAGAAGTGAGATGTTTAGTTTTGAAAGCAGAGAAGTCCTCGGCAAACATGAAGGACTAGTTGGTCACTCCAGAAGGCAGCCTCCTTTTGTTACCTCTGTCAAGAGAAAACAATAATATCAGGGAAAGCTACTATTTGACGAGCACTAGATATAAGCCAGTCACTGTTCTAGTTCTGTACAATCCTCATCTAGTTTAATCCTCAACGACC